TCATGTGTTAGAAGTTTTTGCTGTTCCTGCATTTTACATGGTAGGGGCTCAAAAAGGAGTGTGTGTTTTCCAGGAAGTTTTCCTGCTTCATCAGTTTGAGGAAGCTCTAAAAAATGTTTCTGGGTTTTGTCTAAGAGCGCTTGTGGTTATGTTTACCATATCTAGGAGATGGACTAAGGTTTATTTGAACAGCCTGTTTCTATGTGGTTCTGATTTGGTTTTCTGCTCTGTTCCATTTTTTATGGGTATTCTTTTGGTACTAATTTCTGAAGCATGTAGAACAGTAAGTCAGGGAGTAAATTATGTGAGAGGTAGGCTGGGGAGTGCTGAACACTGCTGCATGTGCTGTAGTTTTCCTGTCTGCTGGCCCATGCCGCTGGTGCCAGTCAGCTTGCAATAATGTGGTGGAAGGATGTCAGTGTAGCAGTTAATCGGGGACGGGGATGACATGGGGACCATGTAACACAAAACCTGGCAGGCTTGTTCTTCTAGTTCTGGGAAGTTCGTGTGGTGCTGGCAGTACCAATTTGGAGGTGCCTTGCGGTTGCCACTTTTAACTGACTGATCCTGGTGAAATGAAGTTGCAGTATATTGGTACCTGCAGAAAGGCCGGGCGTTCTTCTGTACGGAGAGCTGCTTTGGATGCTATGGTGGACAGTGCTGTTGGTGTTCCTGTGGCATGCTACATCTTGGCTAAAAGTGAAGCTTCTTCCTTTGTGCATGCTGCTAGAAAGCAAACTGAGAATTGGGTCCTTCAAAAGGGGCATGACGGGATCTCACTGGGATGGAGGAAAATCAGTGTTATATGCTTTCTTCATATTCACACATGTTACTTCATGTGGGATGACTGTATGTGTATCTGATGATAGTCTTGTAATGACACTTAAATTCATGTAGCTGATTAAAGGCTTTGGAAACATGTTACTGCCCTAACTAGCACTTTCCCCATCCAGTGATTCCATGAATCTGGAGCGTGTTTAACTCCAGACACTTTCATGGACTGACAAGTCCAGTAGTTCTGTAAAATTTTGGAGTAGTTGGATGTTTTTGCATGATATGTATTATGATTTCATATATTTAATACATATGAGTGGGACAAAATAAGTTTTGTTTTCTTCCAGCTGTGCATTTAAAACTTCATACTCATTTAGATGTTCAGTCATGGCAAGTCTTGGTGTTTTAATGTCAAATACTTGGTCTCCCTTCATGAAATCATTAACTGCTCTCTATGATAGCCACTGTCTCTGCCTTTCCTTTCTCATCTTTCTGATTGTTTTACTCCTGTTTTCCCTTTTTTCCTGCTTCAGCAGCTTCCTCTACTCTCCATTTTTCTGCAGGTTTCCTCCTGTTCCTTTTCCCCGTGTTATCATGTTAGTTAGTGCAATAGCTATTTTTGACATATATTGCCATCAGTAAGTGCTAGAGTTAACACCTGATTTCAGAGAATAGTATTTGTGTCTCACTACAGCTTTATTTACTGGTCTGTTCATTTTGCTTATTTTGAAAGGCAACATGGCACCTGGCAATTTTTGTTTAATCTGCATTCAGTATTAATAACTATGGAAACTACAGAACTTAATCTTAAAAATAAGCTATTTGTACATAAACATCTTAAGTGCTGGTGAGGAACTGATGTCTTTCTGCAAATACACCTTTTAAACAGGATGCTCAGGGTAGCAGGTGTGTAACCATGTATCTGTTGAGTAGCTAAGCTGTCAGGTAGAAGTTACTATAATGGCATGGGTGTAAGGAGAAAGGACTGAACTAAATCCATTTCACAAGTTGAATGAAAAGAAATGGACAAGATTTTTCTGCAAGGTGGCTGTTTTACAGGAAAACCAAGCTGTCAGGCAGTAGTTTTTCATATATATTGCAGGTAGAACTTGGCAATTATTTTTATATCCCGTCATCATTTGACTATCTATTTTATCTCATCACAAGGATATAATGACAGTGAACTTCATAACCCATGGTTGTAACCTTGGAGAAGGCTTTTTCCTTCTGAGAAGGATGTCTGGATTTATGCTGAGGGAGGTGTTACTTGGAAATGCTGCCTAAACACAATACTAGAGTTGAAAATACAATAATCCTTTTTAAGCTGTTTAAGGTGCTAAGGAAACTTGGGTAATAAATTCTGTCAGTGACATTCTTTACAAGTCCCTGGTGCTTCATAGAGCTGTGATAGTCTGATAAAGTAGAGCATCTGATTCTTCAACAGAAGAAATTAAAATGACCTGGCTTAATTGATTTTCTATTTATGTACTGTAGGCTGCTTTCTGGCTAGGAAGTTTTGCTGTATTCTTTTAAGGGGGTGGCAGGGAAGGAGCACGAGGATTCACTTCCGTTAATTTTGATCTTAAAGCTTATGCTGGCAAAGATCTGTTTAGATACATTTCTAGGGGGTTATTGTTTTTGCTGGTCTTGCAGAAAGACTGCTCCATTATTATTTTTTCCTAATGATTCTAGTATATTAACAACTTGTTCCTTTACCAATCTGTCTTGCTGTAATTCTGGATTGTCATTGACACACAAAGTTTCACTGAGTAAAATTTGATTCTTGTATTGAAATGAGTCTTTAGTACTGGTGTGAGATTTCTTGCTTAATTGCAGTTATCCAGTATGTTCTGAATGTGTAGAAAGTAGGAAGATAAAGCAGTTTTTCTGCAGATGTATATATTTTATCAAGATAGGATCTTCGTCACCCATGAGTGTGTTAATCTTGTGGTCCTGCTACCTTTTTCTCACTTACCTCTCCCTCTACCTCTTCCAATCTTTTCTGCACAGTTTGCTTACTTCAGACAACGAAAAACAAAAAGCAACATCACGCAGTCGCAGAAAAAGACGGCGAAGAGGAAGGGCTCGTCTGTCCACACGCATGACGTTCCGAAGGAAGAGTACGCACTAGTGGCCCAAGATGTTGGAAAGGGTATAGAGACTAAGGCTGAAGACACCAACCTACTGGAGACTAAGGCTGAAGACACCAACCTACTAGAAACAACAACAGAGACAGAGGTAAATCTTAGTATTTCTTGTGTTTTGCTTCACTCGGTCTGCAGGTAACAAGTATTCCAGGTGATTGTTTTACTTCATTGGGTATTAGCTCTCTAGCACTGTCAACTAGCTGCCACTGAGAAGTGGTGTATTTTCACTTGTAATAATTGACTCTTACAAAGTGATGTAAATAACTGAAAAAAGCTATCTCCATTATATGGACTGGACAGCTGGTATTGTCGAAGAGCTGTCTGCTTTAGTCTGCTAAATTCAGGTCTTTCACCTTTCACTGCCATGAACTTCTCTTTGAGCAGACTTCTGGTTATGTGGCTGTGACTCCATGAAATGGCAAATCCAGACTGAGAGGTGTAGGTAGATGAGCAAAACTGTCAGGACCTTATAATGCACAGCATTAGTTTGGTTTTGTATCGCTTTGCTGGCTCAAATGTGCTTAATGTTTTCTGAAAAAATATACTCTGTTCCAGCATGCTCTTAGTAGCCCTTGTAAAGCCAGCATAGATGTTACATTCTCTGACAAATGTGTTTAAAATGTGACTCTGCTTGTGCCTGATGTATTTCAGTATGTTTGTACTGATGACCCTCTAGAGGTAGCCCTGTAGTTATGTCAATAAACATAGAACCATAGCTTGTGATGTAGCTTGAGATTACCAGACATCTGTGAATAGATGTACTGGTCTGCCTGAATTAAGCAGTTTCTTTCTTGCTTCAGCTCACAAGCAAGATTTTTATTTTTATATCAGCTGTGGATCAGACAGTCATGTGACGCTTTCTCTTTCTGTCTCGTAACAAAAAGAAGCAAAATGTAGTTTTGAACAATTTTTTTTTTTTAATAGGAATCCAGCTTGCTTCAGAAGTGGTTGGCTAATGCTTTCACAAGCCTCAGAAGTTACAAGGCAACTCTCTGGCTACAACAAACTGTATCTATCTTGGTCTGGGAGTTTGTTTAGAAAGTAGTTTCCCAGTGCATTTCAGCATGTTGTCTATGCAAAGATTCGCGAGTTTTGGGGAGGCGGTGCCTTCTGCATAAAAAGCATCTCTCCAGCAGTTGGTGTGTTTTCACAACGTAAAACAATAGCAACAAACTAGTGTATTTGCAAACCTGCAATAATGAAGGATACCATTTGCATGTGTTATCCTGCTTTCCGTTGTGAGGGTATCCCTAGCGCTTTCAGGATATCCTGAACGTAACGTTAGCATTGCAAAGGCTTTTATGAAGCTACATGCCAAGCTGTCTGCAACTAAGAAAAAAGCATACAGAATTTGTCACTCAGCCATAGCATCGTCAGCAGCATCCTTACTACCTTCATGTGAACTTAAATTAAAAAACAAACAAAAATCACTTACTGCTTCTAAACAGCTTCTGTCAAAATAGCTGGTTTGTAAAGCAAATGGAATTGCTTTCTAGGTTACGTGGAGAGGGCACCAGTAGTCATTGGAAACTACTTCGTGCAGATTCAAAATACAGGGAGGGTTATGGGCTGCCTTTTCTAAATCGTGCTACAGTCATCTTTGTCTTTGTTGTGAATTTAGTGACAGGTAAATATCTTTCAAGATTCCAAGCTACATTAAGTATACGTGTCAGAAAATAGTACTGCTTTTGTAATTGTGTGATTGATTTTAGTATATTTAAGTAATCTGTCGGTTAGTTACTAATATTTAGTAGAGGATTAAAGAGTGCTCAACTGTACTTGCAAGCCATAAAAGCAGAATATAAAACATTGAACCTCAATGATGAGACTTAGCCCTAAATTTTTGAGTAGACATTCATAATTTTTAATTTTTTTGCATTTATTTCATTCATTTGACCATGGATGACCAGCTGAGTTTAGCATTAAAGTCAGTCTCTCTCACTGGTATGTTGTCTCACAACATGGACATTTCTGGCTCATGTGCTTAAGGCATTTCCAAAATAATTCAGCTTTTCCGTATGTATCTTTAAAATGGCCATGATTTAGTGTTTGTTTTATTTGTTTACTTACCAGGGGAGTGCTGACTTGGCCAACTGGGATGTACTGAATGATCATGCAGCTGAAGTAAGTGTGAAAGAATGTATCTTTAGTAAAAGATGCTGATATGTATGTGAAAGAAGAGTGTGACAATTGGTTACTAAAATGATTAGTTATTGAGCATTGTTATCAAATGTGACAAAAATGATGCGATTTCACTATTTTACAGTCTAAACCAGGTACTTATCTGTACGTACATGTACTGGCTGCGAAATTGGTTGCTAAGAGAATTGGTTTTAGTGAAATCATGGACTTTTTCAAGCAAAATTTGAATGATGTTTTTAATTGAAAAGTAGGTTCATTCTTTAATTGTTTCAAACATTAAAAACAAAAACTATTTAAAACAAATTACAAGATACTGTCTCCTCTGTGAGAACTGTAACAATGTTGCTCCTAAGAAACCACAGGATTGGTTGGAGCAGCTTCTCCCTTTGTACTTGTTTGTTTTGTTTTGCTGTTAAAGGCCATAGGAACTCAGAGTATGTTGCATGTTTATTTGCAATAGCTGCTTACACTTGAGCTTAATGTTAAGTCAAGAACTTTACATTATTATTTTTCCTATGATGGACTGTTCTACAGTCAGCACAGATGTATGTAAAAACTTTGTTTAATTTTGGTAGTATCCCCCCCACCTCCCACCCCGCCCACTTGTAAGTTGGAACGTATTTTAAATCCCAACATGTGTCAAAATGGCACTTTGCCACAATTTGGTGCTATAGAATCACAAGGCTCTTCTCCCTGATTTACTTTTGAGCCTTAAAGTATTAGGAAAATACATTATCTACAACAATTTTTAATTTGAATTTTTTAAGAATTAAGGACTTCGTATATAATGTTTCTATTAAATACAAAGTCCCAATGTTGAATTACTTTTAGACTAGAATTTGCCCAGAATTTAAGCTTGAATTTATATTTAATCACAAAACAAGAAATGATATATTGTTTTGGTGAATAAATATGGTTTTGTTTCTTTTATGAAGCAAGTTACGATAAATTCTGCTGCAGAATACAGTGAGCTTGATGCTAAGATGTGTCAGGTGAGAATAGTTGAGTTAGAGAACAGACTTCTGGAGAAACAGGAAGCCGTTGAAAGACTCACTACGCAGATGGACGAGCTACAGGAACAACTTACCCAGCACAGTGACTCTATGCAACTTCAGGTATGTTTCACAGAATTTGGTAATGGGGATAATACTACTTTATTTTAATCCTAAAAATATTTAGGAGGCAAAACTCAAGAAAAGTATGATTTTTATTGAAAAGTACTTCGCCTTGCTAACATGTGCTGCGAAAAGCAGTACTGAAGTTTTCCATTCACCAGTGTCCAGAGCATCATATTGCTTGAATCAAGGGAGAGTAAAATTAAATTTGAAATGCTGCGTCTATTTTTAGAGTTTTTGTGAAATGCATAGTTAAATTCTTCTGCTGAGAAATGGTTGGACACTTGCTACTAGTTTTTATTGATAAATTTTCTTACTATATTGAAGAGTGGGCCTTTATAGAGAGAACTGCAAGAAACACTAAGGTAAGTATAATTAATCATACACTGAGGTAGGGGCTCAGTGGAAAAACATGGGATTTATATTTTTATAAATACTGATTTTAAAAAAATATATAATGTATCAAGGTCATGCTGAAAAATGGTGCACCCCCCCCTCCCACCCCTCCCAAAGTATTGTTCAAACTATTGAAAAGGAAGTATTTATTGAAATGTCAGTGTTTCTGTGGATGTGCCTGAAAACCACATCATCGATGCAGCTAGGCTTCTTTTCAAATGTTCACACGGGATGGCAGACACCACTACTACCACCCCTGATGACTTTCCCCTAGACATCAGTCACGCTTTTTGAATATTTGTAAATACTTGTGGCTTTTTGGTTTTGGGGTGGGGTTTTTTTGTATGGGCAAATGATTAAGTAGGATAAGTTAAACTTTATTAAACTGACATGTACCTTCCCCTCTCCCAAAATATTAAAAAAAGATACTTTGAATTCCCTTTCTCTAGTATTTCTGTGTAAAGGTAAATTATCAGGTCCTTCTGAAGAATAATTACTTCCCCCTTTACATGTTTTTTTCCTTTTAGGACTGGGAAACAAAGTCATTTCCTGTTGGTGAGAAATAAATTGAAAAGGTTAATGTGATTAACATGAACTAGGATTAATGTATCCCATCTCATTAGCTTTCTCTCACATGGCTGAAAAGAAGAGCTGACAGATAGGAAACAATTTAGGGGGTACTAAATATTCATTACATCCCATAGAAAGCTTGATTTCTTTTACATCAGTAAGAGCTACAAAATTTTTAAGTAAAAATATTTATTTCATTACTGGTATCCTATCATTTGTTTAAAAAGTCACTGTTGATTAGGTTTGTCATCTCTTGGAGATCAGTGTAAGATTCCTCTTTCATCATACCTGTCATCATGTTTGAACACAAATATTTCTGGTCCTTTGGTGCAAGTTTGTTAAAACTTCAGTGTAACTACAGACTCTAACAGCTTTGCTTTAAGAAAACTTACTGGGTTCCTAATATGTTAAGAATATTTTAATTTTAAAAGTGCGCTTCTTGTGATCCATGTAGGAAACTACTGTTCAAGAGCAGAATGAAGTCATCAGGAAACTAACAAGCTGCCTTCAACAGGCAAAGAAGGATCGGAATGACCTACAGGAAGAGGCTTTCCGTATAGTTGGTCAGATCCATGATTTAGAACTTCAGTTACATCAGGTGTGCCTCTCCTCCAGTTTTTGTTTCCTTACAAAGAGAATAAGAACAGGTTTGGAATAGGAATGTAAAAACATATTGAGCTTATCACATAGGTCTTCATAGTTCAGTTTGCAATGCAGCACTGAAAATGATTTCAGGGTGAGGCAGAGTTTTCTCAGGTTGCTAGGGAGAAGTCCCAGGGACATCCTTATATTTTCCACTTACTTGCTTGTGTAATGTTTGGGAGGTCATTACACTTCTTTGTCCATCAGTTTAGCCCTCGTTAGGGAATTTTACCCAATATTGTTAGTGGTTTGGGATCTATACACAACAATCACTGTAATTGTGATATGGGCTTACATGTGATCAGTTTTCCTTGCCTTTGCCAAAGAAAGCTCTGAGTATATGCATGGGCAACTGTAACAGCTCAGCTGTTATACAGAAACTTGCTATGTTGAGGTAATGTGACTTGGCTCAGAGAAGGAGATTTAAAATAACCTGAAGACAGTTGATGCAGCCCCTATGACACATAGGAACCTGCTTCAGTGCAACAAGTTGATCATGGATCTAATCCCTGGATAATAAGGTATACTGCAGCCTTTCATCTACTTAAAAAAAAAAAAAAAAAATTAAAGACTCTATTCTTTTTTGGTGATGCTTAGCGTTCTAGTAGCTATTCTTTCTGAACACCTGTATATTTGTTGTCTCAGGAGCCTTGTAGTATATGCCAAAGAATAATATTTATGTTTACTTACCACTTCAGGTTTGCAAGATAAGAATTGTGCTAGGAGGATTACATGTCTTAAATGTCTGGATAGGAAGGGGGTTTAAAAAAAATTAAAAATAAAAACTGGGACTTACTGAAGTCCAGGGATTATCTTGAAGGAGTTGCTCATGCCCTGGAAAATAAATCCTCTGCTAAATGAAATTCTAACTTTGGAAAAGAACAAAAAATACTGCTTTCTATGTACAATTCTGACTGCTATTGACAAACTATGGGGTAATAGTGAAAATTACTCTACAGATGACTGTTGGCATTTGCTCCATAAGCCATTGAAAGACAACGATAAAGACTCTAAATAGCACTTCAGGCATATTCTACACAAGGCTAGTAATATGATACCAGTTGTTTGTGGAGGCATGTCAACTTTGATAACAGATGAAAGTACTAATACTGTCTTAAATATTATCTTCTTGGTTTTAGCAAAGTCTTTAGAAAAAGGTTTTAAAAATGAATAAAACACATTTTACCCCCATAGGGGTAAATGTTTTATTTTCATTTGGAGGGAGGTGGAGAGAAAAAAAAATTAGTATTGAGCTGTAAATCCTCTGCAGAGAAGACTGGTTTTGTTCATTGTCCTCTTGCCTGCATGTCCAGGCCATTGGAAGTCCTGCTTTGTTTTAGAAGCTTCATAGAGATGAATTATCTAACATTTATATCTTTACAGTAAGTAATAGAATCTAAAACATGACAAGTGTTGTCTGTCTTCTTAGGGAGATTCTTATTCACTGAGAACAAAAGATGTAGAGTAAATCTGTAGTAAATGAATACAGTATACTTTATGCATACAGTGAGTCTTGTGTCTGAGTTATTCTGATATAAACTTTCTTCTGACTGTGAGTACCTTTACGTGTTCAGGTTAATGAGATGCTGAGGAGTAAAAGCTCGGGGAAAAACGAAATATTAGAAGCCCAGCAGCAGATGTCTTTGTTTCAGAACTGTCTCAAAGAGCAAAATGCACATTTGGAGATGCTGCGTCAGAAAGCACATGACCTGGAAGTACAGCTTGAGTCCTCTCAAAAGGTGAAAACTGTTTAAAGTGCATTTATAATTATGAGTTCTAGGTAGTTAGGGCTTTTTTTGCTATTGTGCAAGCCAAGGTGGTACTTTCTGGAGGAAGAACCTGGAATGAACATTTAATTTGTGCATGAGGTAACATTGATGCTTTAGGACTGAAACTACACTTTAGTATGGAATTAAAAATCTGTTCTTCTGAAGGTAATGATATTCAGCTAAGGCAAAATAGCTGTTCGCAATTTAAGATTTTTTTTTTTTTGGTATGAAGTAAGGATTCAGTTCTGGCTCTTTAAAATTTGCTTATTTATTGAAATGACTCCATTGGTTTCTGTTGCAGAAGGGTTGGTCTTTAACTCTGTTACTAAACTGTTTTATAACATTAAGAAGTTTCCATCAGAAGCAGGTCCATCTGGTGTTTGTTGAACTGAGGCATATGGGAACGTAACTGACAGAGGCTTGCAGTGGGGTGAAGGTTGCTGGATATGCTGTGTAAGCGTATAACAATACAGTTGTGTGTGAACTTGACACACCTAGATGACAGTAAAAGTTAACTGTATCTGTAATCATGTTAGTTTCAGATACGAAACAAAGTGAGAAGCTTGTGTGGGAATATTTTGATGTAATCCTTTCAGAAACAAGCACTATGAATAAAGAAACACAGTTAAAGTTAAAAATATGTAACATACTTTTTTTTTATAATATGTATTTCAAATTTGGTGATTACTCTGATCTACTGTAGTGGCATGGTCATGAAAAAAGTCTTTAGAAACAAATTTATAGGGTTTTTGATTACTAACTTATATTAAAGGAACAGCTTAAAAGGTCTGATTTCCTTCGAGCACATAACGAGCAATGCCATAGGTAGAAACCTTAAACTTTTAAGTAAGTCAGATGAGTTAAAATTTGACATGGCTGTTCTGTTGGCCTACTTCTGTCTGCAGGAGGTGTTTTCTCTGTGCAAATGGATGTGAGATGGAGAGGTGTCTGTAGCTCTGATTTTTTTTTTTTTTAATTATTTTTATTAAAATACCCAAAGTTTGAAACAGCCACTATTTTCTTTCTCTCTGGAGTCAGTGGCATACCATTTGTTATTGCTTGGACTATTTGATATTTGTTACCACATTTGAAGAGTCTTTCAAGTAGTACTTTCCACTCTCAAGGATGTGCTTAAAAATCCTGTTGCCTAGGCCAATGACGCACTCTGCACTTAACAGTAAATATTATTTGTGAAGATACATTAAAAACATGAGGCTTAAGGAAGTTAAAACATGTCATATTTCAATGGCATATTTCATATGTAATATTTTATTTTTAAGAATACCAAAGATAAAGAAAATCTGCTTTCCCAAGTGAAAGAGGATATGAAAGATACAATGCAACAGCTGTACAAAAGCATAGGCGAAAAAGAAGAACATATTAAAAGTCTTCAGGATCTACTGACATCAGAAAGATTTACCTTGTCTATACTACAACATACCCTTTCTCTCCGGGACTCAGAAATAACAGAATTAAAAAATGAAATAGCTTTGTCCAAAATGAAAGAACGGCAACGTATTGAAGAAATGAAAATCAGTCATGAAAAGGATATTTGCAGACAGTTGGAGAACTTGAGGGCTGAGCTGGAGAAGTGCCACAGAAGAGAGATTGCAGAAGCCAAGCAGGTATATGAAGAAGAAATTATTTTAAAATATAAGAATGAACTTGAACAGTTAAAAAAAGAACTCTGTGCTCTGAGTTCTGAAGAACATGTTCAGAATTTGAATGGCATTATAATTGACTTAAATAATAGTCTTTGTGAGTCTGAAGTTAATAAAGGAATTTTGAGAAGGAAACTTGAAAACCAACAGGAAGACTTCCAGAGAGAAAAATCTGAAATTGAGACTAAATACAAGGATTTAATTGATGGCCTTAAGTCTCAACTCTCTGATGCAGAAGAGCAGGTCAAGGAAGCCCAGCGATATAAACAAGAAAAACAGTCCTTGAATGAAGAGATTCAGAAACTGAATTCTTTCATCCAGGAATTAAATGGAAAGCGACTTTACGAGGCTGAAAAAAGTATAGATGTAAGGCAAAAGCATGAAGAGACTTTATCCAACAAAAAGCTAATGAAATTGAGGGAAAAACAGATTTTACGAGAGGTGTCACAGTTGCAGAGAACAGAGCTTGAGGAGATGCGGAATAAACAGCACCAGTTGAAAGGTGATGATGAGCTAGTTCAGGAAGAACTAGAGTTCCAGCATGACTTGGGAGTAGACTCCTCAAGGGATCAATTAGAAGAAATTAAGAATTCAAAGATCACAGAGAATAATGAAAGTACTGAAGGAGATAACCTGTCTGAAGAACACTTGTCAGAACTAGGGCTTTTCAGCGGTGATGAAGGTATATTGGCTAAATATCTCATCTCCACGGAGAGACCAGAAGAGTCATATGTGTCCAGCACTTCTGAAGGTTATGCCATTGAAGAAGGTAGATGCAGTAGGTATGGGTTAGACAGTAGTGCGCTTCTAGAACCCAGCAGAGATTTTATACCTCCTCCGTTAAACTTTGGCCTTGATGAGGAAACATGTCCTAGCAGTTTGGCTCAAGAGACTTTTGAAGAGACTGAGGTGGGAGCAGAGGCCTTTGTTTCATTTTTGTCAGATAGCTCCCTGCAGCAAAACAAAATAAGTGACCACGATAACGTAAAGGATGATGAGACAACTTGTTTAGTAGAGAGATGTGTGAAGCTAACTGAGCAGCTCCATGAGAAGGAGTCAGCCTTGAAGAAATCTTATCAGGAGACCCAAGAAGCTGTTGGAAAATGGGAAAAAGTAATGGCTGAGGTCTCTCATATGCGTGTGGAACTGGATGAGGAACGTGAAGCACGGATCCATTGTGAAAAAGAACTTCTTCAAAAAACAGAGAAGGAGAAAGAACTTGAAAACAAAATAATGTTTCTAATAAAGCAGCAGGATGAGGATGGAGGCCAACCTTACTGTGCTGTAGAGCCTTTAACACAAGTGTCAAAATCCTCTACCTGGCAAGAAATGGTAAAAGACCTCCAGGAGGAAAGAGAAATGTTGATGGTGCAGCTGCGAACTCAGGAGCAATTAGTGAAAGATGTTCAAGAGCAGAAAACAGCTTCTGATTCTGTAACAAGTGAAGTACAGTCTCTTTTTGGACGTCAGTTAGCTGCTTTGCAAAGTCAAAGGGATCTAATGCAAAGCCAGCTTGATGCTCAGAAGGCTAAAATCCAGATGATAGCGGAGCTGCTTGGTCAGAAAACCATATCTGAAGAGACATTGCTAAAAGAACAGGAGTTGCTCAAAGCTGAAATCAATAATAAAGAACAAAATTTAGCACTCTTATTGAAGGAAAAAACAGCCTTAGAAGAAAGATTATCTGACGTGGAGGAGGATCTAATAAAAACAGAAAAAGCACTAGTAGGGAATGCTAGCATCATTGAGGATCTTGAGAAAAACATACATGAACTTAATGCTGAAGTGAAAAACCTCAAAGAAATACAGGACTGTGAAAGACTGGGATATGAGGAGAGATTAAACTTCAGCAACCTAGAAATTCAAAAACTTAATGCTGAAATAAAGGCAAAAAGTACTGAATACAGTGAGAAAAAAAGCCAGTTGACGGAAGAAATCACCCATTTGAAGAAGGTTCGTTTGGAGCTTGAGACTCGCTTGCAGGAGTCCTTTCAGTCTGCACAAGCTGCACGGGAGGCACAGTCTGAGATGGTGAAACATTACAAAGAGGAAATTGATAAAATGGAGACTCAACGCCTTGCCGAATTAACTAAAGTGAGTTTGATACACAAGAAAGAGGTAGGAAACCCTGATAATGGCAGGAGTCTTGGGATTTCAGAATGCTTAAGGTAGTAATTGCAAATGTTTGTGTATGCCTGTTTTCAGATAGAAGAATTAAATGCTGAAATAAAAGATAAAGTGGAAAACCAGCAGAAGTTGGAAGAAGAAAGGAAGGAACAGATTGCTTTAATAAAAAAGGTAAATTCTGTAATTGGGCTTATTTCAGAAAAAAACCCTCATTTTGTGGTGTTTGTCATTTAAGCAGTATAAATGTTTTAGAGATGCAAAAATCTATTAATTGTTTTTTCCATGGTGTCTTTGATTTGGGGTCAGGAGGAGGGGAGAATTCTGACTCAATAATTTATCAGGGGGCTAACTAACCATATTTTGAAGAAAGCTCGTTTCTCTGCAGGTACATGAACGAGAGCATGATCGTGAAATCTCTGAACTGATTACTAAACATGAAAAGGAAATGGAGAAGCTCTGTGCTGAACTAAATAAAGAGCAGCAGCACCTGTTGGATGAACTTCGACAGCAAATGGCAGCCACACACAAAGCAGAGATTGAGCAAGCTCAGCTCCAATCACAGGTAAAATAAAGAAACACAGTAATTACTGTAGTGGTTACCTGGCTGTTGCAAAGAGAAGGGTCCTTGATTTTTGTGTATACTATGTGTGCTCTTTTATGTAGTGCTGCAGTTGAAGAATTAGGGGTGTTCCCTTGGTGGGTGGTAGTAGATACTTTCTACAGGAGCTCTCCAGGATCCTCACTGCAATTATGTTAACATTAATTCTGAAGAAAACGGGGTGCTTAAATTGATGGGTTTAAAAAAAAACAACAACCAAACCCCACAACAAAAAAACCCAAACAACCTAAAAAAACTTTGTCATTTTTCATGTCTTGATATGTTTAACAAAAATTAATAAAATTAATTAAAAATTAATTAAAAAAATCATAAAATATACTGAACCCCTCTCACTTCTTAATTTTCCTACTAATGTAATTAGAAATGCTTTTGTGCTAAACTTAGGTATGTAAACCTGACTTTTTCCTTTAAATATTTACTGGGTTTTTGAACACTTCCACTAAATGCAAAGTAGAAATGGAAAGAATATATCTAGTGTTAGGTCTAATTACAAGGTGTTGGTGTACTGCTTAGTTTCTTTAAGAATTGAAAAGTTTGGTTGTGTATTTTAGCTGTCATTTCTAACTGTTGGATATTCCTCACTTTTTTTTTAATGAGTCATGGTGAATTTTATTTCCACTTTCCCAATACCGCTTCAGAATTTTGCTTTTTAACAAACTATAACCGATAGCAAATATAAGGAATCTTTTTAATAGACAGTGAAAGGTTGGGGTGAGCTTGTGTTCTGCTCTGATGACATTGTGAGGAAGTAGACAGATGCGATGTATTTGGTAGGAGATGAACTTAAGAGACAGGTAAGGAAAGCCTTTTACTTCGCACTGAAAATGTTACGCAAATCTCATTGTAACAAAAGTCAGCTTATTTTCAGGGTTCTGTCCCTGCCATGAAGAAACACTCTCCAAGTACAGAAAGGCAAAACTTAGATGTGTTTAACAGTTAAAAGCAATTGAATCTGAAACTGGTCATGAAAAAAGTGAACACGTTTCATTAGAGGGGAGGGAAAAACCCTTTTTCTTCTCCATTACAGACACTGCACAGCCTTGAATTGGAAGCTTTACGCCTAAGCTTAAATAATATGCACACCTCCCAGCTTGAACTTACACAGTCTAACTTGAGAAAAGAAAAGGAAACTGCCCTTGTGGAACTACGGGAGATGCTCAATGATAAGCGTGCTCAAGAGGTAGCAATTCTGCAAAGCCGCCATCAGCTGGAGTGGGAGAAGATTAAAGAACAGTGTCTGAAGGAAAAAGACGACCTTAAGTCAAAGTATCAGCAAGAACTAGGTATTAAAATTTGGGAATAATGGACCAGAAATTGAAACCCCATCAGTATTTTTCTTCCTCCACAGGTTCCTGTCTTGGTGTAGAGCTGACCTTTTGAGTGACAGCTGGTGTTGCCTTGAATAGGGACAGCAGCTAGACTGGCATGTGCAAGAGTGCATGTTGTCATGGTTTATATCTTGCATATATAATATATATGCAAAAATGAAGTTTTTGCAGACCCAAGTTTAATTTTTCTTCAACTATATGGGTGTTTGGCATATTTTGGGTATCCTTTGGGATGTGTTTGATATAAGGTTGTATTCTGACATCAGTAAGTGGAAAGCTGCGCTTGATAGTTCTGAAGGCCTGCTGACGGTTCTCTTGGCATAGTTCGGGACACTTGCCTCTTCCTAGATCCAGAGACCATTTCTGACCTGTGTGGCAGAGCTTGAGGAATTTCTAGAGAAAGGTGAGGCCTGCAGCAATTCACTGAAGAAGTTTAGGAACCATTCCTTTAGTTATCCTTCCCTGAGAGGAAGAGAATGTTTTAGGGCTGTGTCTTTTTGACCCGAGAGTAGGAAACCATTTGTTACCACCAGTAATATAGTGAACTGATGGCATGGTGGGATTTGGGAGCAGGAGGAGGTCTGGATGCAGTTCTTAAGATCAATGCTGTTTACATGTGTTTTGGCAATATAACTTAATATGAACATAACCACTTACGACTGCTTGAATGTAGGGGCTGAGAAGGAGAATCTGGAATCAGGTGATGCAGGAGACCTGGTGGGGAGTTCTGGATACTGTTACCTGACGGGCTAGAGGAAAGACATTTCTCTTCAGGAAGGTGATGACTGGGCAAGACCCAAGCCACTTGAGTGCTGGGACACTGTCTTGTAACTTAGATGATATTTCTTCCTCTACTGGACCATTAGCTGGGTAGCTGGCACCATCTTAGTCTCTGACTTCTCATTTCCCACTGAAAGACTTGAAATAAGGTTGTAAGCTAAGGCAACAGTACTTTGAAGCTGTGAGAAGGGGACTGATAGGCCTTTACAGGGTTCTGACAGATCAAGACAGGTGCTGAACAAAGAGTTGGAATGAATCTGGGGAGGAGCTGAGTAGGAAGAAGCCGTTGGTGTCAGTAGTACTTGAGCAGATAATAGCATCTGTCTTGCAGCCTGTTTCCTAGGCATTTTTAGAAGAAATTTGAAAAGAGTTTCCTCCTTGCTGCTGCTGCCTGCTACTCTTTTGCTGTGTCTCTGGAGATAGAGATGATTCAAACACTTAATAGTGATATGCAGTGAAATGCTAGCATCTAAAATGACATTGAATTTATATCTTTAGGATATAAATTAGGATATCTTTAGGAATAAAGGTGGTTTTTCGGTTTTGAGGTGTGGGGTTGGTTTTTTTTTTTAGTGTCATGCTCTCTGTAGATTTAAGCAGACTTTCCTTTGCTAATTAAGCTGAACTTAACCTTCAGGGTTGTCTTTGCAGTTGTAACCGCTAGATGCTTATTTTCTAAAATGAACGTGAATTACTGGGATAATAGCATAGCAGCAGATTTGGATAGAACCCAGTACCTTACACTGCTGCCTGCCTACCTATTTAAGCCCTGAGTTTGATGCTGAAAATGGTAATCTCATCCATATTTCTACTTGTTATTTAATCATAACATTTTATGTAAATTTATTAATAAGTAGTATTTTATTTCACAGTTGATCAGAGGAAGAAAATAGAATTGGAAATGGAAGAGAAACGTATCCAGGCACTAGAGGTACAAATTCTGTTCTTCATGCAAGAAAAAGTAAAACTCCTTTCAGTAAACTAGAGCTGGTAGAAGCTCCATGTCTAATACTACACATTTATTGTAGAGGACAAATAAATGGAGGAGAAAAAAAGTACTAATTTACTAAATGTGTTTGCTTTAATAATGCATGTCTTGCTCTCTTAGATTCTCAAACAAGACTGGCAGTTGGAGTCCGAGATGCATTTAAAAAGCACATGTGAAGAGCTGTCTGAAAAACATCAGACTGAAATGGTGGAACTGCAGAAAACTCTGGAAATGGAATTAGAAAAAGTCAAAGCAGAGCTGGGGCTTCTTTCTCTTGAGAACGAACAGTCTAAAAGTAAGTGCTATGGTCTGGGAAGCAGTTGTCTTTATTGAACAATGGAAAAGCTAACTAAGTGTTTTTAGTACCTGTATAAAAAGCAAATACAAGATACGTCCATTACTCTTACTTAAAAACTGGGTAGATGGCATGAGACTGTCTAGAAAACAGGACGCAAATGAAAAATCGTTTAAAGCCTAGTTAGTTGTGATGCATTTTGACTACCACAAAATGAGATAGACTATGTTTTCCTTCAAGTGTATTAAAGGGAGGTGCTGGTTTGCTTCCAGATGAAAACCGGCTTTTCATCCGATTAATATCAATAGAAGCTTCTCCTAATAAAAAAATCAGGTTTGGACTATGAATAGTTGAAGCTTAATGGAACGGTAGCTTTTTTAAATACTGTTCTGGAAGTGACGTTTTTGAGACTACTGTAACTGGAGTTTTCATTAACTTGAAAAATGAAATCTGGATGAGTACCTAGCCAGGTACACCTATTTATGTCTTTTGCTGAGGTGCAGATAGGAGATAGGACTATGAAAAGTTCGTGTAGGTCTCAAATCTGACACATTTGTCAGTGGCTGACTGGTACAATAATGTCAGATTTGCTGTCAGTGATGGCATGAAAAAGGAGCCACGAGATGCGGTGTGCCATGAAAGTGAAGAGAGCTAGTTGGGTTGCCTAGCCTCTGAGGCACTATGCAGGTGAGAGACATGGGAAATAATACTCTCTCCAAAAAAATGGAAGTGCAGTGTTAAGGGTACTGGATGATGCTGGCTGGCAGGCAGCAAGACCAGGTTTGAGAATTCAAGAGTAACCTTTTTGACCTGCCAAGGGTCAGATGCTTTCACAGTGTTTGGCTCGCCTTTGGCTGCTGCGAGGACGTGTTTGTAGCAATGGCTTATTCTTCCCGGCCTGCACTGGCTTTGCTAGATTTCCCTGAACCTGTACCTTTAAAGTCTGTTCTGTGAGGATAATGTGCACCTCTTGCAGCTCACTGTGGCTGAAATGCGGTCACTTAATCGGAGATTCTTTCTGGGCAGGTCAAGATTTGTTGACCAAACGAGGTAGTAGCAAGTCTACAGGGTTCAGAGCGCTCAGTGCCGAGGCAGAGCGTACTTGGCATGAGCTTTCCTAGTCCTTCCTGTTCATCTCTTCTACTGTGTACTGCTGAGTGTGGTCGTAGGAGAAATTTTGTGTTTGTAGGCCATGAAGAAATACTTGATTCCCTGTCCAAATATGTGTGCTTCTAGTTCAGGATGCTTGTTCATGTATGCAGAGAGCAGGTTACCTCTTGGCTAACAGTGTGGGACGCAGAGAACTAGGAAGCACTGTGTGGAAATGTTTGACTTTCAAATACTTTACTATTCAAGTATTTTTGTGATTCCCTGTAAGCTAGCATTCTAGTCTAGAGGCATGCATTTCTACTTCAGTTGCACAAAAGTTGTACAGGTTGTTCAGTAACCAGAATGGTGGTATAACAGAACTAATTTTTAATTTTAGTAAAATGTATAGAATTGGAGAAGCAAAACCAGTTAGACATTACAAAATTACAAGAACAGCTGCAGACTGAACATAACCAACTCCTAGAAGATATGAAGATGAAAAGCCAAGAAAAAGAACAGAATCTTCAGAAGGAGGTAAATAAGACTTCTTTACTCATTTTGAGTGGTTGATTACTCTCTATATAACAAAAACTAGACCATAGATGTATCGTTTGGGTGATTTGTTTGTATTTAGGGATTTTACTGAAAAACTAAAATGCCTCTCATGAAGTAGGTAAATACTCTGGGATTTTCTATAGTGGTTCAAAATCTTTTGAATGCAATTGCCTTTGTGCCACTTGGTGCTGTTTCTTTCTCTGTATTCATATGCTTAATTTTCTGGTTCTTGTGTTTCGTTTTTATCTAGCTAATACTTTATTTTTGCCAGTGATGATAAATAAGGCATCAGGAACAAATTCCTCTCTCTTAGAGGAGTGGGTCTAATAGTTAAGTGCTACTCAGTATCTCTGATAGCCTGGGTCAGGAGCAGAGAGTCTGGTTGTCACTAAGTGTTTCCACCTATTTGTGACAGAACTGTCTGTTGCATATAAAATAAGCAATTAGGACAAAATTGTTTTAAAAAGTTGGGTTTTTTGTTTTTTAACATGTCTTCCATAGCTGGAGAAACTTCAGGTCATGCATGAAGAACTCAAGACTCGGTCACAAGAAGAAATCAGGCAGCTTTGGTCTCAGCTCAACAGTACCCGAGCAAATCGGCAAGAGCTAAGCGGTATGTTCAAAACTGATGCATTTCATTTTTTGCCTCTTCTTCATATAGAAGTGTGCATTATTGACACAAAATACTTTTAATTGTGTACCAGAAAAACACAGGTAGGTCACAGAAGTGTCAGTGGGTTGTACCCTTGTGACTTGGGTGCATGATATGTTTCTGAAGTGAGAGGTGAGTCAGTGTCAGATGACTAGTTGGTTCTGCAGTGTCAAAAACCATGGTATGGCTGTGGAGAAAAGCTCACTCCTGTTGCTTTCCTTTCCCTTCCCACTCTGTTCCTGCACCATATAAAAATCTTTAGTGGAAAACAAACATTTTTCATTGCAATGTCAAATTAAGTATAATGTAGTTAAAAAATGGAGAAAATGCTGGTCAATACAGTAACATGCTCCTATTTTTATTCAGTATGTAAGTGGATGTGAATTCACCTGAGAAAACTGTTAATCGTAGGTAGACAGTAAAGCTCACTGCTTTGTTTATGACTTAGTGTTTTATTGCAGCTATTTTCTTTGATTTGGAGATAATGAAGAGATCAGTCTGCTTAAAAAAAAAAAAGGCAGAAATATTTTAAAACTGTGTTATTAGGTTATATCTTGAAGTAGAAATGGCTTTTTTTTTCCACTTTCAGTTTTGAGGTGAGTTAAATAAAATGCTTTTTCATTGGCACTCAAAATGGAGATTCACCATCTTCTGAAAGACTTTTAATTCTTAAATATAGAAAAGCCCCAGGTTAAAGATATCTCTAGTTTAAAAATAAAATAAAAACATTCAGGTGATACTTCTGAAATCAGAATGAATGATAATGTTGTTTTTCTGTAAGGCTAAAAATAACCTACTTTTTACATAAAAAAAGGAAAATGTGCACAGCAATTAAACGTGAACAGTTTTGGGTTTTTTGTTGTTTTTTTTTTTTTTTAATTGGTCTTACATGTATCTGCATTAAACTTACGAAAAAGTTTTAAACCTTGAGAGAAAATAATGACTGGATGAAATCTTACATCGTATGCTTATATATCTTAAGATATCTGATTCAAGATTTAGGTATATTAATTGAAACAGTCAACTTTACAGTATAGTGATCGGAGATGACACACATTTTTGGTTGAAATGAAGTAGAACATGTCTCAGATGTGTGTACGCAAACAGATGTAAAATGCATGAAAGAACAAATTTTGGAAAAATAACGTCATGGTCTCTAGCTTTTTTTAATTTTGACTGTGTGTGTTCACTTTGTATCGAGACTGTAACACTAGGTGGCGTTCTTTACTTCCGCTGGGGTAGTTGAAGCATACTACACTTGCCTTTTGTTTTAAATGCATTTTCTAAATAATATAACTGTAAATAGCTTTTGAAGTATAATAGGGTTTTGTGAGGATGGTTTTTTTGTTGGTTTTTTGGTCATAAATTGAATAAATAATTTTTCTATCTAGTCAGACTATACCTTGACTTTTTCAGATCTCTCTTTTGATTATACAGAATTATAACAGATAGCACTTTATAGTCTTTGCTGGAATTCTTATATTTCCTCTCTGTAGCCCTAATCTTTATTAACCTTTCAAATGTCTTTCCATGTTTCTAATCACTCACAATCCCATTCTTTGGACCCTTTCTGTTTCTTCTTCATCTTGCTTGAGACGGTGAGACTAGAATGCAAGCCCATGGTCCAGGTGAGGATCTCTCTTTTGGTGTGTAAGATCTTAAAGGTGTTTTGCTTTATTCTGCTTTTCTTCACTTGAGTGATCATTTGACAATGCATTTGGATTGGTTTGAGGACTCGGGGTGGTGGATTCAAAACATAGCAGCTGGATGATGGGATTGCTGCTCTGATGTAAGAGTGACATGCCAGTTCAAAACTGTTAAACACTCTTCTGTGTTTATTTTGTGCCGGCAGACTTTGCTGGTTAGGGAAAACCTACCCATGCCAGATTGGACTTCCCTTGCCTATCCCATTGATGGTGTTACTAGTCCCTGCTTGTCACTTGATTCCTCTGGTCCCCATGCTTGGCAACTACTCGCTTTGGAAGCAGGCTTGAGCCGTGTACTTCCTTCCCTTATTCTTTGTGTTTGCATGTTCATTGTGAGAATTTTTCATGCCAAGTGTGCATTTTCTGGTTTGCTACACAAAAACACACCGTGACAATCAGCTGTGTTTCTTCCTGGGTGGCATCCTCTGTTTCCATAAATGTTTCTGAAGTTTTCCTTCTTGCGTAACGTAAGCAGATGCTTTTCTCCAAGTTCTTTCTTCTTGAAATGCAGTTCCATCTTCAGTTGATTCTGTGGGGATTCAGCTAATTTAAGTCATCTGAGAAGTTGAGCCATCTGGGAAACTTTTTTAATTCCCTCTCATGATTTTTGTCCTTTTCTCCTACCTTTTCACTTCCTGATATGTTACTGCTTCTTTAATACAGAATGTGGGGAAGAAAGATCTCAGAGTTCATGAATACCCATCAATGCTGGCCATTGCTCTCACTGCCTGAAAGGAGGGTAGCTTGCTGAACCAGCCTTGATCGCCGTTTTCTACTGCATTCTTTTTTTTTTTTTTTTTTTGTTGGGTGCTTCTTTTTAATTCAATGAATTTAGCCTCTGCTTGAGCTAATGATGGATAGCCAAACCATCACTGAAAGAATCCAGAATTGATTTTACTTTTTCTTTCTCGTGATATTGTTTTTCTGCATAGTTTGTGCTAAAGTTATTTTTGTTTGTTGGGTAGTTTTCCCTGGAGCAAATTAAATGTTCTTGACTAAATTATTACTTCTGGTTGCTACAACAAGCAGGTGTGAAGATTAAGCAGTATTGCAGGACTCTGCATATCACTAGTCCAGAGCTGAAGCACAAGGAAACAAGGAGGGCTAACAGACTGTTGATAGTTTTGATTCTTGTCATGAGGATGGTTTCTCTGAATGCAGGGTAAACGGAGAACATGGTTTTACTGTCTTCTAAGGAAGGAACGTTCCGTCTTTCAGAAGTTCATTTTCTTATATAGCTTGTGGGATAACATTTTACTGCTATCTCAACAACTAAAATGTGGCTGATCTTCACAGAATGACTTAGCCTAAAGATATATATTTCTGAGTACCTGTGTTGGTTTTGCCTCCATTCCAGAGCTAAAAGAGCAGCTCCTGGCTCGTGCATCACGGGTGGAAGAAATAGAGCGTTTAAAACAAGAATTTGAACAGCAGCGTCAGCAAAGAAAAAGTGAGCATGAAACTGAATTGGAACAGCTGAGACTTTATTTTGAAAAGAAGTTAAAAGGTGCAGAAGAAAACTACAGAGAAGAATTGACTTTGCTGCATCAGAGACTGCAAGAACTGAAGGAATATTCACTGTCAGAGTTAGAAGTGAGTCAAGATCCAGAAGGGGACATCAGGTGATCTGTTCTTTTCCTTTCATCTCATGTTATGACAGCATGCTTCCATATAATTTTTTGTTTTTAATATACAAGATGATGTTAGCATCTAAGTATATTGGGTTTGGGCATTAGGTGGTCTGCAGTTAGAAAGACAGCGATGGAAGTTATGAGTGCGCAGTCCTGAGCAGTTGTTATAGTTGCTCTGTGCCTACTTTCAGTATCACATCATAAGTCAGCAAGTTTATTTAACTTATGATTGTAACATGTGTCAGAAATTAAACTTTAAAACCCTCTTCTCAGTTCTTCTGTCACAGTTTTTGAAGAGACTGTTGAGAAAGAGAGAAGGGATACGCTTGGTCAGCTAAATCAACAGCTGGAACAACATCAGGTAGTATTTTTGATATATTAAAGTTCTACTGATCTTTACATGACCTGTATGAAAATTGATGTCTGATTCCTAGCTCTTAGCAAAGAGTTAATTTGAGACATTTATTAAGGCTTAATTGTTTTTGACAAGTATATTGTAAATTACCAACTTTAAATAGTTCTCAGACTAGCAGAACAGATGAAACATGGTGTTCTGTAATTTTGTGTCCTCTGTTTGAGTTATCCTGTGCCTAGTAAGGAGCTTATCAAAGCTTTTCCACACAAGTGCAGAATTCATGGTGTTTCTCTTCTCTATAGCTTCTGTAGTAATTGTGCCTTTTATGGCTGGCTGTTCTTTTCAAGTGGAGATGCAAATTTGGTTCTTCTATTTATGCACTTATTTTCATGTACCTTGTTGTAATTTAAGATCTTGACTACTTTACTCAACTTATTTGAAGATGACTAAGAGTTTCAAAAAGGAATTTCCTTTTTTTTTGCTTTAGATTTTTATTTTTTAAAATCAATTATAAAAAGTAACTTTTTTAGTGAGGGAATGACAAGCAGACAAGACATACACAAGACAGCATGAGCTCAATTTCATTAGTAAATCACACAAAAAACGTATGAGTTCTAAATGAGAAGTGTATACATAATGCTTTTTTTCTTGCTGCTATTTGTTACCTAGCTGAGTATGAAACTGCATTCATAGAACATAACTTCTAAGTTCTGTGGTGCGTAGAGGGGGGTCTCCTCAGTGTTGAGAGTTGATTAGTTTCTCCACCCAGATGCGTGTGGGACTTCCCCCTCTATTATACTTTCAAGCAGCTCCTGAAACTCAGATCTGCCTTGTGACATGTTTCCAGAGTGTATCTACTTTTTTTTTACTCAAAAGATTCTAATATACAGATTTTTTGGAGTCTATTTTGTTCTTACTCACCCTGTTTCCCTATTGGAAGTACATTAAGTGTCGTGGTTTAACCCCAGTTGGCAACTGAGCACCACGCAGCCGCTCGCTCCCCCCCCCACCAGTGGGATGGGGGAGAGAATTGGAAGGGTAAAAGTGAGAAAACTCGTGGGTTGAGATAAAAACAGTTTAATAGGTAGAGCAACAGTCACGCACGCAAGCCAAGCAAAACAAAGGAATTAATTCACTACTTCCCATCGGCAGGCAGATGTTCAGCTGTCTCCAGGAAAGCAGGGCTCCCTCACGCGTAACGGTGACTTGGGAAGACAAACAGCACCACTCCAAACATTCCCCCCTTCCTTCTTCTTCCCCCAGCTTTTATATACTGAGCATGATGTCACATGGTATGGAATGTCACATGGTATGGGATATCCCATTGGCCAGTTTGGGTCAGCTGTCCTGGCTGTGCCCCCTCCCAGCTTCTTGTGTTCCTCCAGCCTTCTCAGTTGGTAGAGCATGGGAAACTGAAAAGTCCTTGACTAGTGTAAGCACTACCCAGCAACAACTGAAAACATCAATGTGTTATCAACATTGTTCTCACCCTAAATCCAAAGCACAGCACTGTACCAGCTACTAGGAAGGAAATTAACTCTATCGCTGCTGAAACTAGGACATTAAGACAGCACTTAGGGACATGGTTTAGTGGTGGATTTGGCAGTGTTAGGTTTACAGTTGGACTTGATGATCTTAAAGGTCTTTTCCAACCTAAATGATTCTATGATTCTACTTCGAGGGGCTCCGCTGCTCTAGTAGCAGATGGAGTGGCAGGAACAGAGGAAAACCAGCAGGGTTTTTGGAAGCCAGATATATATGTGTCAAGCACGTGCATTATAGTGCAATTCATGTAGTGCTCTCATTGAAAGATTCTCAGCATGGTTTCTTCAAAACTGAAGATGTCTTTCTAACCCATTTCTTATGTAGGAAAAACTTGCCTGTTTGCAGGTACAACTTAAAGAACAACACAGGCATGAATTAGATTCCTTAAGGTCTTCCCTTGCACTTCAATATAAGGAGGACCTAATGAAAATGAAGATGGATCTGTCAGACAAATATATAACAGAAATTGAGGAAATGAAAAGAAAGCATTGTTTAGAATTGGAGCAGCTCCGTGCCCGACTTTCAGAAGAACATATTAAAGGTAAGATGAGCTGACAGACTGGGAAGTAAAATGGTAAGCTGCTTGTGTGGCTTATATTTTTCTTTAAATATTTAAAGGCCTATCTGAAGAAGTCCTTCAGTTTGTTATTAGTTTACTCTAAACTGTAGGGAACACTTAACATGTGTTAATCCCTGTCATCAAGCACTTTGCTTTTTGACTCTTATGGGCATGTTGAGTTGCACTTCCAAAGATGTGGTGACCTGAAGTTGATTATTCTGTAGTAAAACCTACTACAACTGTGGAGCAGTTGCTAAAAGGAGTTGATCAGATTTCCATTCTTGATGCCTAGAAGGGCACTGTCAATTCCTGAATTAATATTTATTTTAAAATTTCTTAGTGTTGTCTGTCAGCTATGTTAAATGTCTCTTGTATTTGCATGAAATAGGTCAGTTCTCACTCTATTCCATAGAGTAGACCCACTTCTGTTCTATGTTCTTTTACCTGTGTTCCTTTTGTGGGTTTGATAGTGCCCTGCTCATTTAAGGTTAATATTTCTTTTTCCTGCTGTGTTTGCCAGCCAGTTGGCATACATATTGGGATGAATTTTTTGAACAAAGAGGAAAGTATTTATGGGAGCAGAATTTGTAATAGGTATCCTTTGCTGTAGGGTTCAGGTTAAAGTTCCTCTTATGGCTAAATTTAATGCGATTTCCTGTGTGATCATGGCTTTATGTAATTTCTTAAGTTGTTGCTTTTCTTGGAATTGTAACTTATAGAAATATGCTGCCTTGTACTAATTCAATATTAAATGCATATATTGTTGAGGTGCAGGTAAGGGATCATGGCAGTTCTTGTATCTGCAGCCTCTTTCTGGGAGCACAGTATGATACACAAACATTTGAACTCATCATTCATAACTTAGCTATATAACACACATGGCTATAACTATATTCCACTGTATGTTGGTTAAAAGGATCAGTACAACTTTTTTTTCATTTGCAGTTATATTTCTTATCTTCATTTATTTATTTTTAATACTAGGCAGTTTATCAAAACTGCTTAAATTAGAATGTTTAGAGCTTTGTCCTATCTGCTGTTTGGGGAAATACCTTATGTAAATAGTATGTGTGAAAGAGGAGATAAAACTTGCATAAATCTGCCATTACATTGTCCAAAAAGAAAGTCAGCTCCTATGGCTGTTGCTGGTAGGAGGGAGGTCCTGCCACAGGTTTCATGATCCTTCCCCATTATTCTGTGTGTTGATACTGATAAATTTCAAAGATGGTGATGAAGCGGAACAGAGTACAAAATAATCCTGATAGGGATTCTTGTTGGTCTGTAGTTAGTATGGCTACTGATAAACTGCACAGCTGACCATGTTCAGTTTTATTTCTGTGCATTAATAGGACCTGTTAAAAGAAAATAAATTCCAGAATGTCTTTTTTTATTTGTTTTGTTTTTTCTTTTCAGAAATCACCAAACTGCGCCTACAGAGTGCTCAAGATGCAGCACGTCAAGTTGAAATGGAGGTGGCTGAGCGAGTGTCTGCGCTGGAGGAAGAGCACAAAGCTAAACTCTCTCTCCTCCACTCTGAGAAACAGCGTATTGCCGAGCTTTCAGATGAAATAAAGCATTTAAAGGAAGAGATTACTAAACAAAAAGACTTTTCTGTGCAGAATGAAAAGCATCTGAAAGAGGAAATGGAAAAGGTAATTCGTATTACAGTATTGTTTTGTATAGAGTTGGGCAAGCTCAGATCTGTTGGGAAGGCCAAGGGGAAGCAGCACTTGTTACCGTAAATCGGCAGATGAAGAACTCTCTAAGACTCAATTTAGAGTTTTAGAAAGCAGGCATTCTTTATTGCAGCGCTGGGTGCAAGGTGGAATTTCCACAAATCAAGCACACCTAAGGCTAGATCACCGTTACATTTATACACAAAAATTACAAGGTAAAACACTCCCAATTACAATGATTGGTTAGTGATTTACATATAATTATAATATCTGCTGTGTCGTTCTCTTCTGTTACTACGCTTGCGCAGGGGAAGGGTCTTCACCTGGGCAAGGGTCTTCTTGACCTGTGGCTGTGTTTTTTTAGTATAATAATGAGGACAGTTCACTTCAGGTTACCTTAAGATAAATTTTGCTGTCAAGTTAACTCAATATTCATTCATCTACCATGTCAAGTTCTCAAATAAGTCATCCCATATACAATGAGGCCTAAGTGGCCTGGTCGCACTCTGAAGACTTAAAGGTAAGGTTAACATGGTTCAGCGACTAACACAACAACCCCTTACATAACGCTAACATGAAGATTAATAACACAGCAGCAACCCCTACACGGCGTTAACATAAAGATTAATCAAAATGTTCTTATATTTACTCATTCACTAACAAACACAAAATATAGATTCAATAAAAAATAATAATCAACACTTACAACACACCTTTAAATGTGCCTAGTTTAGTGATAGTAGCTTCAGCTTTAAATGGACTTGCATGGATATACACAAATACATGTGTATCCATGCAAGTCCATTTAAAGTTCAGAGCACTTTAGTGTTAAACGCTTAGTTTGTCTGCTTTAAGATGAACTCTTCTTTAAGAGCAAAGATAGTGTGGGAAGGCAGGTGCTTCAAGGGTTGATCCGGTCCACCTTCTATATTGATGCGGGTTAAGCATATGTATACCACTCCAATATAGGTCCTCATCCTCAACATCTCCCTGCAGCACATCGTAGTGTCCCGGTGCAAAAGTAACATGGTGCACTTCCATACTGTCATGTGGTAATGGAGAATTCAGCAGAAAGCACTGTGGCAGATGGAAAAAGCCCCTCTGCTGAATGGGTCCCCTCTAAGAAATTGCTGGTTTTGATAGGACTGTCTTTTGAAGCAAATAACCAGGAAAAATTTTTCAGACCACTTTGAGGGAAGAAGAAAGAATCGGACAACAGATTTCTGCTTTTGCTTTGCTTTGATGTAGCTCTTACACCTTCACTGTCAAAGTCTTAGAGGTGAAAGAATCGCATCTGGTACCTTCCCTCTTACCTGTTAAATCAGCTGTCCCATCTGAGGATAAACTTAGATTGGATGTTAATTCATTATTTAGTTTGTTCCAATATTTGAATGCTTATGAGAATTAGATGGATGAAGCTCTCATTTCTCAAGTCCTCCTTTCCTCCCTTTTTAAAGAGAGAGAGGTATGTATATCCTTTTCCAGACTTAAAAACTGGTGGGGAGGGCCAGAGAAAACAGTTGCAGACTGTTTGTAGGTAGCAAGGAGAACTGAGAAAAGGGTTTTAAAGTTTAAGATTGTAACATGTGTCACAAATTAAGTTAAATGAACTTATGACGTAGTCCTGAAACTAACATTTCAGTACTGCTAGTTTACTCCTACTACCTGCAGTATTTTTTTTTGTGGCACTACTGGCTGGGTAGAAGATAAGTATATACAGAATGCAGTGTTTGAAATGAGCCTGTACTGCATGCTGATCCACTGTCTGGAAACACATTTTGTTTGCCTTCTGGTCTCTCACTCTCAGAAACAGAGTGAACCAATTTCCTCAATTACCTCTATATTTCCTGTGCCCCGCCCCCCCAAGTTTTCTTGGATTGTGCGTTAATCAAAATCTGGGCTTTTTGCATTTCTATTCTGCCTCTTTATTTAGGTTGTAGCATAAATGCATATTTAAATATTTGTTCAAAACAAACCTTCCAAGTGAAAACTGAGTATACTTCATACTGATGCTCCTATGTGATCTCTTATTAGCTTTTAATTTTCTTTTAAGAGATGACCCTGTTGTTTCCTTAGTTTACTATTTATTTGTTTACCTGTTTACCTTTAGTGTATTTTGAGAGTCTTTTTTTTCCCTCTTGTCATTGAGCAATCATTTGGTGCTTTGGCTTCTGTTTTTGTGCTACATGCTTTTTATGTTGCTTTTATGCTATGTACGAGATTGTGGTCTTGGACACTGCATATGAAATACCCTTGGAACATATAAAGAGAGAAGAGGTTTAGAAGAGATTTTTGATCATGCCTAATATAACTACCTAAGGTGCCCATAGCTTTATAAGTCGAACTCCTGAAATGAAGAAAAGTGGCCCCAAGAGAAAACAACAGAGTACCATGTGAATTCTAGAATTTTCCCTTGATTTTTTTTTCTTCAACCCCAGTTAATTCTTAATAGTGTGTTGAATTCAAGTACCTATAAATTCACATTTCAGCCTTATTTTTATTTGGAAGGGTGACTTCACTGCAAGAATTGAATCTCTCCAAGACCTTAAATGCCTGAGAACATTCACTTCACGCACTTCAGTTTGGTTTTGGTATTTTATGCATTTTTTCATAACTGTGTTTGCAGGTAAAATATAAAATTGCTGAGGATCACAAGAATAAATTAAGGGAAGCCAAAGAAGAAATCCAGAAAATAGAGACTATGTACAAAGAAAAAGAGAAGAAATGGAAATGTGAAAGCGAGGACCAGAGAATCCAATCAGAAGAGAAGTTATCGTTGTTGCGTATAGAACTGCAAAACAGAGCGGAATATGAGAAGCAGAATTTACAAAAGGAGTTTGAACTTCGTGAAGCTGAAATGAAGCAACGTCAAGATCACCAAGCTGCCAAAATTCTAGAATTGGAGAAGTTGGTAAAAGAGCAGCAAAACAACTTGCAGCAACTAGAGGACAGCCTTGCAAGTGCACAGGCTATGCAGAAATCTCAGGAGCAATATGACCGCGACCTGCAGGCAGCCAAAGCGCTCATGGCAAAAGAAATGGAAAAGGCCACACTTTGTCTGCAGGAAGAATGTGCACGGAAACTTATGGAAGCACAAAACAAGTAAGTCCTGAGTATTTGAGGACTTTCACTTATCAGTTCAGTCATTGTTATTGTTACTTTTTCTTATTTTAAACTTAATGAGTCATAGTGATGTAGGTTTGTCACTTGATGGCACCAACTAACTTATATATGTAAAGCTTACTCTCCCAAGGAACAGTAATGCTGTCCATTATGGTTTACCATAGAATTTTTCTTCATGTAAATGCATTTAATCTAGTCTAGCAAATCAAATGAAGCGTAGTCAAGTTCTACTTGTTACAGTTAAGAATACAACACGTAGCTGAAAATTGTATAATAGCCTTGGAGGAGGGGAAGTGTTACAGGACATGTGAGTAGAAAAATTCTCTAAATATCTTCAAGTGTTTTCAAACAATTCAAATGAATTTGAGCAAGCTTTTCCAGGTGAATGAAGCTTGTGTTATCCACTGAATGCTGAGGTTGATGGGCTGCATATGGTATTCTTCAGTTCTGGTTAGACATGAAGGTTGTAACTGCTCAGGTTTTCCTCCCCTTCCTACCTCCATTGTTTTTAGTGTATTAAAGGAAATATTCTAACAACTACGTATTTGTATTTCCATGCATTGCTTCAAATTTATCCCTTCTTTCCTCCCCAAACATACGCTCATAGGTGGTTTTGGAGGAGCCCCCAAGTATCCCACATACACTTCCACAGTGGTTTTGTCTTGGTCTTAACCAGATGCTTTTAGAGATGTTTCTTTGACAGTTCGTTCACTTGCAGACAACACATTTGAAATGTAGACTATGTATATACTATGTCCTAGATACTCTCATGTGGCAGTATTTTCTCAAACAGAGAACAATGTTTGTACATTGCTCTGTATTAGTGAGTAATTTAATAGCGGTTCCAGTCTACCTATTAATAAGCAGATACTACCAAGTGACATTGCATAAGCCTTTAATTATGTGGCTATGAAATCATCTTTGTGGCTTGCTTTGAATTAGTTCTGTATTTGAAACATAAAGTAAAATTTGTACGGCCTACTTATTTTTCTTTAGTTTTTATTTATTATTTCAATTATTATTTTAAAAAAAAGTGTCTTTTTGACAATATTCTCAACTTTCTTGGAAATAATACAGGTTTATAGAGGAACGCAAAGCTATGACTCAGAAATTCACAACTGAGCAAGAGATTCTTCTCCAAGAGCTGAAAAAGAAACATGTTGATGAGCTGGAACTCCAAAGTCAGCAGTTACAGGAGAAGCATAAGCAGCAAATTTTGTCTCTTACAGCTGAGTTTCAGACAAAGCACCAAGCTGAAATTGAGACACTTAAATCTACACTAGAAAGTAAACAGCAGATTCAGCTTGAAGCTTGTGTTGCTGAACTACAGACAAAGAATCAGGCACAAATTGATGAGCTGGAGGCTAAACACTTATCAAATCTGGATTCCTTGGAGTCGTCCTACCTATCTGAAATTCAGAATATAAGAGATGAACACAGTCAGGCTCTTGAGAAGCTACAGCTTCAGCACACAGAACAGCTCCATGAAAGGGATAAAATGGATCAAGCACGCTTGGTTCAGGAGATAGAGATGTTGAAATCAAAGCATGCTGAAGAGCTTCAGCTTTCCCAAAATAATTTGAAAATTGAGCTAGCTACTGTTCATATGGAAAAACTTAAAGCCATGGCTGTTGAAGCAGAAGAAGCTCATAAGGTGAGTCAGAAAGAAAACTTGGCATAGAAGGTGAAATTTCATGGTACATTGTGTGGGATCACCTTTTCCCTTGTTCTTGGGGTGTATTTCTACAGCCTCCTTTGTGCCAGTACTAACACTTGTGTGTGGCCATATTGTGAGCTGAAGTAGGAAACCGAAGCTGAAAATTAAGTCCATCTGTCGCTCCCCCCCCCCTCCCCTGCCCCGAAATGTTCAGACTAATGAGTTTTCTATCTCAGTGTGTGGAAAACGTACAAATGAAGTAAATATTTTTAACATAATTCAGATTGGAGGGGCCATTTTGTGGCTCAGAACTTCTCTGCCTGATAGAGTTACTATGTAATTCTTCAGAAGTGATTAGAACAAAGTAAATGTAATTCTGTAGGTTAAGCTACATCTCTAGGAATCCAAAGATCCTCCCTAGTGGCACAGTCTTGAGGGGAAGAATAGAAGAAAGGTATCTCTAAAGGTCCCAGATGGGATTTTCGGAGCAGGTCTTCGGTGAGTGAACCTTGTCTTAGGGCCTTTAATAGAAGTCCATAGCTTTGCTCTTGATAGAGCAGAGGTGTGAGCTCTTTCAGAGTTCAGATGTTTAAAAAATGATCCCAAGACTTCTCCAAGTCAAAGAGGTAAGAAGGCTTAGCTCATTGCTAAAACTTCAGAGCCTTTCGGAGAGATGTACTGTTTTTCACACTTGTCTGTCACCATGCCCACTTCCCAAAATTACGATTATATATCGTTTCTATGCCCGCAAAGGCTAAGAGGAAGGTCTTGTGCAAGGAAAGGTGGGTATTTTTCTTCTGTCCTATCTTTGCTAACTAATCTTAAATCTGCATTTTAATTGTTCCTGAGTGTAAAGAACTTCAGAAAGCTAAAGTTGAATATTGTGCTGATGGGGAGTGCTGT